CCATTCTGCCTCCTCCCGCTGCCGCCTCCCTGACCTCCGACCGACGTCGACGACCCGCAGTCAGCCTCCTCAACTTAGAGCCGCCCTTGCAGCCACGTCGTCACCCACTTCAGACCCGCGGTCGACTACACCCGCTTCAGTTCCGTCACACTACATCTACAGCGGTACCGCCTCCCCATCATCAGACACCTCGGTCTCGTAGACAAGATCTTGCTTCCCTTTGCTTCCTCATTTTAATATTTATATCTGATTAATTAGTTGCACAGATTATATCATAATATGTTATTATCTGCATGGATTGTTTGATGATAGATAAAAATAACTGATATTATCAGGATGAGAATTATTTTCAAAGAAAAAGATTATTTGAATTAATAGATTATTATGGTTAAAGATTATTTTTAGAATTATTATTATAATAAAAAAGAATTTATTTTGGAAGATGGAATATTAAAAAGAATACTTAATGAATATTTTTTAGAATTATTTAAAAGAGTTTATTTTGGAATAAGGGATTATTTTGAATTATTATAATAATAAATAATTTAAATGGGATTATTTTAAAAAGGGGTTTATGTTGAATTAGTATATGAGAAAACAATTTAAAGAATTTATTCTGGAAAAGATAATATTTTGGATTATTATAATGAGAAGTAATTTTAAAAGAAATTATTTTGGAAAAGGAATTATTTTCTGAATTACATAGTTGTTGTTCATGATTTAATTCTGAGACTTGATTATCTGATATGCTATGATATTATTACACATGGTTAGTTGTATTGATTGTTCCTTGTTATGATTGAGAATCGTTAGGAGTTTATGACTATAGCGACCCGTGTGACATGAATAAGACCTAGAGATTTGTGTGTTGTTGACTTTGAAAATACAAGAGAGTTAGGATGGGAAAATCATGGTTCATGTGATCGGATAAGACTGTTGATGTATCTTCCAGACTGGCACTAGTGATCTATTTCGCACTAGGGTTGGTTTGTTGGGCCAAGTGAATCATTTCGCACTTGGTCAGTGAAATCGTTTCGTCACCCGAGTTTTGCTTGAGTTCGAACCGGGCTGAAATCGGATTGCATGTAGTCCTCTTACCGAACCGTTTCGCAGGTTTGGATGCACGTAGAGGATTTGTGAATAGTTAGTTATCCGATGATACGAGCGTTGACTCTGTGTGAGATATATACCAGTGACCCGTTATAGAATGGCTAGTTACATGACATAATTACTTGGATGATTATGAGTTGTTGTGAGATACGGACCAGTTATATTTCTGTTTATATATAGATCGGGGTTAATATTTAATTATCTATAATTTGAGACATATGGTATATACATGAGGGTTTCTTTGTTTGGATTATTTCGCTCGATGTACTACGTCTCGAGTTGTAGATTTTTAAGTATTAATTTTATCTAGTATATGACCCTGTTACTTCGATGATTAGTCTGATCGCTAGTTGCATGACCTCGTTACCCGATCGATTTTTGGATTCTTCTGATTATTATATTCTAGTAGTGAATTATATTTAGATTATTAGTATTCCCGATCGATTTTTGGATTCTTCTGATTATTATATTCTAGTAGTGAATTATATTTAGATTATTAGTATTCCAGTAGCATGCTTCTATTATTATTACTGTTATTGTTTTGGTCTTTTGATCGTCCTATCCTTCCTTGTGGGATCTTGACGTATGCCATGCACGCTGACGTACACATATTTTTCTCTGGTGTACGTCAGATTTAGGAGACGGACAGCCTCAGTTCGGAATCGTACTGGAGCCAGAGGATTCTCAGCAAGAGTGTCTTGTAGACGGAGCAGAAGAAGAAGTCGAAGCCTAGGTTTATTAGTTGATAGTCTTAGTTTACTTTTGTAGTACTTCCTTTCTATTTCCGTTGGACGATGTATTTTTATATTTCTCCAGTGTTTAGTTGTTCAGTTTTGTATAAGGGCATGTTTGACCTGAATATTATGTCTTGGATGATATTCACTTGTGATATAGATTATTTTGTTCTGAGTTTGTCTATTATATTCTTGCTAACTGTGATCGGGGAT